TTAAAAGTAGGGTTGGATGTAATTTCCTCCTTTAACTTTATAATATATTTCTCAAGTTCTCATGTGGATGTAAAAGTTGGCCCATCCGCCATGGCCCGCTACATTTTGAAAGCCTGACCCAGTCCAGTTTGAGCCATTTCAAGGGAGAGTTCATCATGTGTCACCTGTCAGCTAGGTTGGACAGGCCTATTAATTTAGTCCATGTTTGAGTCACATTAAAATTCTCATTCTTCTACTCATTTTTAATCACATTTTTAATAAAATAATATTTTTTATCACATCAATAACTTTTCCTTCTTTTTCAACAACAATTCTCCATCAATCTATTATTCTAAAATACATTCTTCCAAAATAATGTGACTCAAATATACCCTTAGAAAATTTTGCTACATGTACATTAATATTTACGTAAGGGGCTATATAATACAATATGGTTACTTTATTATTTGTCAGTTTAAAACACAATTACCTTTTTATCCATTTTTTTCCCCCTATATCATTTTCGGCAATCGCTTTTGTACAATTTTAATGTACAGTAGCAAAATCCTAATTTAACTCATGTTTAAGCTCTATTTTTCCAAAATAGATTTTACGAAAAATGATTTTTAAAGGATATGTGATAATAAATTAGAGAAAAAAAATTTTGAATTTACATACAAAATTATTTGAAAATTTAAATTTTAAAGAATAAGACTCAAACAAGGTGCCGAACAAATTTGAATTAATCTGTTATCACTTTTTTCTTAGGGATGGAAATAAGTCTCTTTGTCTTGTTCACTAGTTGTGTCGAAAAGTAGGATAGGTTTTATTCTTCTCTTTCTTACGTCGACTATTCGTAACGAATTAATTTAATATATATCTCGAGAAAAAATATAGTTGTCTAATGGGATGCTCAAAGAACATCCATACTCGAAGTCCCTTTCAGAGCATATACTAGAGACGGCAAAAAAAAAAAGCATAATTTTTTATGGATTCGCCAACCAATTGTGACAGTTGCTTTCTTCTTTTCAAAGTTTCATCACCCCCCCCCACCCCCCCCCACCCCCAGTAATTGATTTCTTCAACGTTAACTTGTGAATTGATCTTCAATAGAGTTCTTTAATCGTTCAAAGTTCAAACTTACATTGAGAGGGTAAAGTGGAACGAGAGATTCGTCAAGTTAGCTAAGCTATCACACTATAGCAAATCACTCGTGCGCGTTGCTCATTGACAAGTCATAATGAGTGAAAATATAAAAAAAGATTGACATTGCAAAGTGCAAAATACAAAAAATAATTGACGAGCTGCGAGTCGGCTCGACAAGCTCGTGTCGAGAGCCGAGCGTTTCGACTTGTCCCATTTAACACTCCTACCTACATTTAGACCAATTACCAATCATTTTCATTTGCAACCAATTCTATTTTTGGTAGTATCGGGGAGAAATCAATAATTAAACATATCATTTAGCAGTTTAATCGATTATTTGTTTAGGCAGCTTGATCATCAAAATATGATCAACCCCTCATGGCCAAAAGAGAGAGTGATGATTATCGTCAAAATCAGTGAACATTACTGTAAGCCCAATTAATCCATGGCCTAAGCTAAATGCCTTTTGGCCAAGATGAATTTTATTCTGCTAAAAGAATCTTCAATGATAATCAACACAACTTTTCACCTAATTAATCACATATTTTGTTCAAATCTTAGAACCCGACAACATTGTCCAAATAATATAATAAATGAGGCCTTCCATAGTTTATAATGGTACAACTACAACAATTTGTCATTAAAAAAAAAAAAAGCTTCTTGCATTTTTAGATAATGCCCTGGTGAAGATTTTTTTAGAATGATTTTGTAAAAAAGTAATTTAAAAAAAAATGTTGTGAATTGATTGCAAGATAATAGTGAGATGAAATAAACAAAACAAACAAGAACATCAAGATTTTACGCGGAAACCCAAGAAGGGAAAAAAACCATGGACAATGGAGGATAATTTTTACTATATTCAATAATGAATGTGTTTACAAATCAAGATCCTGATACTCTTAATTAAGATCTAAGGCTCTCAAAATGTGATATGAATGGTATAACCTTAATAGTGGGTATAAATCTTAAAAGACAAGATGTAGATGAATAGGAATCCAAAAAATACGTCAAAACACAAAATAGGTCGAGCCCGAATTGTCATTGTTGCTCGAGCGCTCTCCTAGCTCCAGGTGAGTGGCATCATCGAGCGAAATGCTGGTGCTAGGCTGGCGCTAGCTCTCTACTACGTTCTTCACCCCCAATGTTCGGGCGCTTCAACATCATGGGTCTTTTGAAAAAAACCCTAGTGTTCTTTTTTAAAATGAATTTTAGAACATGAGCTAATCATCTGCTTTAAAGTTCGATAAAAATAAAAGAGGTTCTAAATATTAAAATTAACAAATTTATTTTAGAAAAATGTCGCAAGTTGCATATTTACACGCTCTAATTTATTTTATGATTGGCTACGAGATAATTTTCAACCACGCGTTCACACAATAAAATATTTTATGTTTATACTAAAAATAATTTCCTATTTTTTAACCACACATTCTTATAAAAATCAATATTAAAAACTCTTTTTTCTACCAAAATTGTTTAAATACTAAGCCCCCGTTTGATGCATATTTTTGGAAAAAGAATGCATTTTTACTGTTGATGTGATGGGGAATATGTGGTGGAAAAAGAAAGAAAAGCTATTGATATTATTTTATTGAAAAATGTATGGTTAAAAATAAGTAAAATGATGAGAATGAAGAAAATAATGTGGCTCAAACAGAGCCTTAATTTGAATTTACGCAACCGTGTATATAGTTTCATGATTAGAAATCATAGTAGACAGGTAACATGTTGTGGGAACATCATCTATGACCATCATAAAATAAGAACATGGGTTTTTTCGAAAAACCAAGCAACCAAAATTCTCTCATCAATTTAATTTGTTGTTTGAGAGTTTAACAATAACGTCAACAAAGCTTTATTGGGTAAAATGAGTAACGTGGATCCACGAATCGGTTGATTTGTGATTTATTTAGGAAAACATGCATCAATGGGGATTGCCTCGGATCGTGGACCAAAAACTGTCAACTTCCCAGTTGCAAACTTTAGCAACTGACGATAACTCCACCGGCCCACTGCTTCGAATCAATTCGTCCGCCGTGCGTCAATCCTCCGCAACATCCCTTCAGTTTCTCTCTCTCGATCTTTGCCTTCAAAAGGGGAAGTCCCATTTGCAGTTTTTTCAAATGGGTGCAACCTCGAATCCACTCTGTGTTTCATATCTGCTGAATTCTTGCTGGGTTTTTGTACCTTTTTGTTTTTAGACAATTTGGGTTTCAGCATTCCATTCCCATGAAGGCTGAGACTAGAGGGATCATTAGACTAAAATGTTCCGTCAAAAACTACGATTGGGGGAAGATTGGGAAGGAATCGAGTGTGGCGAGACTTTACGGGAAGAACAGCGGGGAGGAAACTCATGATGATAAGCCTTACGCCGAGTTCTGGGTTGGGACTCACGACTCTGGGCCCTCCTACACTGTCGCCGTTGGCCACAAGGAGAATGGGATTTTGCGGAGTGGTAATGGGGCTCTAAAGAAAGAGAATGATGATAATCATTGTAATCGTTATAGTTTGGTGAGACTGAAGGATTGGATTGAACAAAACCCTAGGGTTCTTGGTGATCAAGTTTGGGAAAAGTGGGGTTCCAATCTCCCCTTTCTCTTCAAGGTACTACTTTTATCTTCATTTATGTTGTTTTTGTATTTTGTTAGAATTTTGCAGTTGTAAAGGTGGAATCGGAGAGAATAAGTGTTATGATCTTTTTCTTTTCTACTTTTTGGGTTGAAGAATCCATCATTGATCCTTTGTGTTAAGTTTTTCTAATTGCTATTGATATGCTTTTTAATGAATTTCTCCGACGGGTCATAAGGTATTTTAAATGATATTTCGCTACAGTGCTTTGAAATTTGAGATTTATGATACTCTGTAAATATTAAAAAGAAAAGGACATAGTCATCTTAAACCCAGTATCATTTTGAGGTGTTCATTATCCATTGAAACATTGAGAAATAGATTTCCTCATGGGAATTTTTGGGTTTGTTGCCCAAAGATATGAGTAGTGTACCTTGCATTTAAGACTACCAGAAAAAAATTTTGAAATCTCTCAGCTCTACTAGCCTACAGGATTAAGTTCTTTTCCATTTTTTAATAAAACCGGTATGTTTTTAGGTACTTTCAGTGGCAAAGGCATTGTCAATTCAGGCTCATCCAGATAGGGATTTGGCAGCAGTATTGCATGAGCAATATCCAGATATGTACAAGGATGGCAATCACAAGCCTGAGATGGCTTTGGCACTGACTGATTTTGTGGCTTTATGCGGCTTTATCAGTCTTGAGGTAGTACACTTATCTTCTAGTCTTGGGATGAATCTTTTGAGTGGGTTTTCTTTGTTTCATATTTGGAACTAATGGCTTTGTAAATCCTTAATTTGTGTTTGGAATGGATTATTCGTTATCCATATTTAGAACTAATGTCTTCATGGTGGTGAAGTAAAGAGCCAGAATAAGTCTGCAGTTATATCTTTGCAGATAGCAGATAGCAGATTGCTTCAGCAGTAAATCTGTTGGATTCAATAGAAGGAAATTATTTGTCTTGTGAAGGTTTTTATATGACTTGAATATGTATTGGGTGGTCTTTTGGTATTTGATAGGTTAAATTCGACATGGCTTTGGACGATGGCTGAGGAGATTCTTACTATCAAGATGTCTTAAGAACATCCTGAATCCTCAAAGCTCATCTTCTACAACAGGGATTACTGTAACCTCGGCCAGTGATTCCTGTTTTTAAAAAACTTGTTATGGTGTCAATCGTTAATTTTCTTTAGTTGTATGTATAGGTGTTGAGGGAATGACTGATTTGAGAGCATTAGCAACCTGATGATTGAATTTTCTATGATTAATTGAGGGTGTGTTTGATTGCAAGTATGGAATTTGTATGAAAAGAAAATGGAAAATGTTGTACTTTTCTATAAAGTTGAGTTTTTGGGAAGTGTGAATTGCTTAGAAAATAAAAACCTAGCTCCCAATGTTTTCGTTTTTTTTAAGGAAAACGTGGTCACGTAACCAACTTTTGGAAAAAAAATTCCATAGCAAAAAATGTCAATCAAACACCCCAAAGTAACTCGGGAAGAAAAAGGACAGCCAATCTAATACACCCTTAATGTTTTGTAGAATATCTGAATGTACCTCACTAATGAGATCTGGATGATTTTAATGCTCAGTGCATCCACCAATCAACGTGGTGTGGTTTAGGTGGTTTGTTGGACAAATTTGCCATATGTTTTTGTGTGGACAAGTTCGTCTGACTTGATTAGCTACTCAATGATGTCAGTTAAAATAGCTGCTTTTAAAGAGGATTATTATTTATATTATATTGTCCTTTTTTGTTTATTTTGGTTATCCTTAATAAACTTTAGAGGATAAGATTAAGGAAAGCAATATGAAAATGAGAACTTGAGAAGCTAATTTTAAAACGGATGTGCTCCATTGCAGTGCCAAAAGAACTTACTGATATTTTTATCAATTTTATCAAGCAGGGGCAAAGTTGATGGATTCTATAGAAAGATTCGGAAGTATATAGATTTTCAAAAGGATAATTTATGACATCCTAAACTTTATGGATAATGAATAATCTGTACGCGTATAACATGTAACTTTTAAGGATACCTAGATTCCAGAGTCTATAGACAGGTCCTGCTCCAAATTCAGCACAGAATTTATAATGGTCCTAAAGTGAGGTGTATCATCTTGCCATCCTTCCTCCTATGATAAGGTTTCAACTCATTTGGAAATATAAAGAGTAGATCTCTCTGTGACATTTAAGTATTAAACAAAATGGATAGAGATAAAGATGAATCTTGTACTCTGGCTGATGGATCGGATCAACATCTCATGTCTCCTGTTGTCTAATTTATGACTTTTCGGAAAATTCATTGCAATTCAGATGGAAGTTTTAATGTTTGTTTATAGGAGCTTAAAGATGTTGTTCAAAATGTACCCGAGATTGTAGAGGTGGTTGGTGGTGCACATACAGCTCAAGTGTTCCACATTGATGAAGAGGACAGGGAAGACAAAGCCAAAGAGGTCTTGCAATCCATATTTACAGAACTCATGTCAGCCAGCAAGGTCACGATTTCCCAAGTAATCTCCAAGATGATAGCTCGATTGAATGCAAAAAGTGAGGTATAAAAGAATTCTAGACTTTTGTATTTACAATTGTTATCCTCCTTGTCATAATAACAATTGGAATGCTTTATTTTGTCATCAGTTAGGATGCATTCATTTTTTAGCTCATTTTGGTATGGTCAATAGACTCCTTTATCATTTCTCTCTCGTTCACTGAATGCATCCAGAGTTTCCACTGCTACTTCAGTTCCATCATGTACCAAAAAGTTGCGTCTAATTGGAAAGGGAAAACTTTCCTTAGTGGCTGTTCATATTGTTTGAATGAATGGGAAAGACATTACGCGTATCTGCAGGAGTATACACATTGTGACATTGAAGCTTTTGCATCTTAATCTTGATAGGATAAGCGTTTTTTTTCTACTGTCATTTGTTCTTTATTGTTTGTTCTAAATTAGATCATTAAGGAGAATTTGACTGCTTTGAATGTCTTTTGTCAAGAGAACATTTTAGTATTTAGTGACAAAATTAAGGAGATCTGTATTATACCAATACCTGCTATGATTATTTTCTTCAACGCATTCTCTCAGCTCTGATGCAATTTGTGAAGTGCGTGGAATTCCATTAGCCTGGCAGTCTTACAAACATGAATTTTTTTTCTGTATTTTTGTTGAACCAATGTCTCGGGAAGTATAAGATGGATTGTCTAAAGTTTTTTGCCAGAGGTGTACATAAGAATTCGTCTATAAATTTGTGTTTATATTCGATTACTATCTGATTGAGTCGTCTATGAAAGTTATTGAGGTATTCCATATTTGTCTATAATGGTCAAATTTTTTGGTGGTTAGATTTAAATTCTTTTGGAAATTAATCTAACATCTTGTGATGTATAGGTGAGGGAGCTTACAGATAAGGAAAAGTTGGTTTTGCAGCTCGAGAAGCAGTATCCAGCCGATGTTGGTATTATAGCAGCCTTCCTGTTCAATTATGTGACACTTAATCCAGGTGAAGCCATATATATTGCAGCAAATGAACCTCACGCATATATATTTGGAGAATGCATTGAGTGCATGGCGACATCAGATAATGTTGTTCGTGCTGGCCTTACGCCGAAGTACAGAGACGTTCGAACTCTCTGTTCCATGCTCACATTCAAACAGGTGATGATCAAACTTAATGCATAGGAGATTTTGTATTTCGTTACATTATTATTTCCTTTTTCTCTTACTTAAGACCAACTGATTATCATTTCGAGGCCCTTAAGTCATGTCAGGAGCAACAATAATGAGCCAGCAGCTTGATCATGTTTTGGTATTCCATTCTGTAACATGTCGAAAACTCAAAGTGTATGCCTGTTGTGAGCAACGTTTAGAGTGTCTGCATAGAAGGAACTCTGGCATTAATTTAATCTGTGCTGAATCTTACGGTAGCCTCCCCCTAAATCCTTTCGTCCAGCCACTATCAGGTCAAAAAGAAGAAAACAGAGAGATAACCCCTTTTATTGAGGTCTCGGTTTACTGCGGGTTGACCTGATAGCATAGATGTGGTTAAATGCAAACTTAGCCTATGTGTGGCTCATGTTTATAACTCTTTATAGATACTCAAGTCACTTTTTATCCACATATTTCAATGGACCCACAAGTATTAGTCCTTATCTACCACTCATTTCTATCTATTTATAATTAAAACCGGTTGTAAACACTTCCCAAACGTGCTCTAACTTGTAAGTTTGTAATTGGATCCTTGGTAATTTTCACTTGGCATTAGAATCACATTTTTAAGAAAGGTTGGCTTCGATGCTGGCCACTAGGCCCTTTTGTATTTTGGACAGTTTGAAATTTATATAAATGCAGTCCTTTCATTGAGGGGCAGCAACCTGTTAGCGAATATCATTTCAACCCATACCAAGATTTTCCCAGTAGCTCTGGTAAATTAGCATCTGTTGATCTACCTTCTCTATCTAAGTTACAAGTCAAAAAAGAAGAAAAAATCAACATCACTTGAATACTTAATATTGCAATTAGTTCATCGTCATCCGTGATTAGTTTTTGTGGAAACTTGTTCCCTGTTAATGAGTCACAAATATTTTTTGCTGTGTTGGGTTCTGATTTCAAATTCAATGGTACACTGTATAGAATGTAAAAAGTTGGACTTGAGATTTTTCGTGCCTATCGATACCTTTCTTGGTTTAATAATACCAAGTATAGGCCTTCTGTTGGTTACTTATGGCTGCTGGGCCCCTCAATGGATGTCTCTAAAGGTATTTGCAGGCACATTCGAGCATTTTTGGTTTGCAGTATTAGAAGGGACTGGAAGTAAGGTTGTTCAGTATTACAATCCACCAGACCCAACATGTCATTATGGTCTTAGATCAGCACTACTTGTTTTGCATCTAACTTGTGCTATTGCAGGGCTTGCCCGAAATCCTTCCAGGAGTTGCTTTGAACCCTTATACCGTTAAGTATCTCCCCCCGTTTGATGAATTCGAGGTTGATCGATGCATTCTTCCCCAAGGAACATCAACCGTTTTTCCTGCAGTACCTGGACCCTCCATATTTCTGGTGTTGATGGGAGAAGGAACTATGTGCACAGTATCCTCTAAAGAGTTAGTTGGCCAAGGTGACGTGCTATTTACACCTGCAAATACTGAGATCACTGTTGCAACTACATTAGGTTTGCATTTATATAGAGCAGGAGTAAACAGCAGGTTTTTTGAAGAGTAACATGATAATTGCTGCTTGAAATCTGCAGCAGAGAACTAAACAGATTTATTTACCTCTTATTATATAGATGAATAAATATATTTAGAATCTGAGGTCTTGGAAGTTTCTGCTTTTCCCTTTTTGGTGAAATTATTCTATATATTTTAGAGGTAAGAGGCCTTTTTTGGAGGCCAAGATGAAGAACAACCTATCAAAGTACTTTAAAAAATTCAGAGAGTATCAGAAAAGACGTTACCTTTTCAATTCGCAAATGAATACAAAAAATATTAAAGGAATATCCTAAAAAATATTCAAACAAATTATGCTCAGGTATCACACTTTATTTTTCAATTTAATAAAAATTTTAGATTGGAACATGGTGTGAATGACCATATGAGATGTAAAAGTGAAAGCTCCGCCTTGAAAAACTGGGAAAATTGCACGCTTAAGAGGCATTTGATTCGTTTTCTGTTTGGTAAAACATCCAAAATTGGTTTGATTTGATATCTTTCATGAAAATGTATTTTAAAAACAAATTTATATTTATAATCTAAAACTCAGCTTTCAGTTTGGTTAATTTTAGAATTCATTTGCACTTTTTGTTTGACTAGAATTTTTTTATTTTTCTTTGAAAAGGTTGCCACCTTAAACATTGTCAAACTTTAAGATCGAACTTTTTAATTTCCACCTTTACTCCATTTGCATAGTTTGTTCCTTTTCCATAACTTCAACTTCTTCTTCTTCTATGCTCGCCCCTAGAACCAAAAATCCTTTTTTCTTCCAACGACATTAATACAAGAAATGGCTCGAGTAGCAGGAGAAGGCCACAAAATTTTTGTAGCAGTTGGAGGTGAAAGCATGTACGGACTCGCCTGGTTTCTCAATAAACCACATTTTTTCTCTTCTTTTCAACTTTTCTTTTTCCTTCTTCCCTTCTTAGGATTACTGACGCAAAAACTCATGACGCGAAATACCCTCTATTCCGGGGGAATTTTTCATACCTCAAAGGTCATACGGAGGGAATTTTCCATCAATTTGAAAGAATAAGAAATATTTCGTGATAGGGACAAAGATCAGGCAGGTTTTGCGCAATAACCCATCCTTTTATTAGCATGTGAAGGGAAGATAATTACATTCATTTATCATAGGCAACATCACATTAAAAATAAGTCATATTTATTACGTATCTTTATACTAAGTAAATCCCCAAACATGCACTATATTTACTTTTAATGTTACACAAACAATTCATAAAACCCATGTCATACTAAAATAAGTATAAACTTATTTGTAGTTCTGCCGTTGTGAACTTCAACTTGCATCAATAAAAAAATCTCCATTGGTTCGGCACTCTTCACGTTTTTAGCAGAACAAACAGAGGCTACCGAATAAAGCATACCAGTACATAGCCACATATAGAACTGATTGTATAGTCCAGATCACTAAACTATTTGACAACTTGAGTTTTGAAGCCTTGCAACAGATGTAACTTTAATAAAACACCAGTTTTCCTACAAGCAAATGACTGTCGAAAGTAACCAACAAACATCTTGAATGAAAATTAATTGCAGGTCAAAACATCATAAGTCACATACTTAAATGCAAAAATATAGGGATTTTAATTAATAAAGCACTGCAAGAAAGCTCAGAACATAGGCTTTCAGGCCTCGGTGTTCGGAAATTCGAAGACAACATCTCTCCCTGAAAGCTTTCTGTAGACTCCAGCAAATGTCTCCAGCTTAGTTTCAGTGTCGTTCTTTGCTTTGGGATCCAATAAAACCTGCAAAGTGCAGATGAATGTTAACATTTGCATAGGATAGTGGAAGATAAAAATCAAAATTAACGAATGATATGTACTGGTCACCTTCATTATCTTTGATCCATCAAGTCTGTATCTAACACGCTTTCCGACAATTTCAGCAGGATAAACTATATCCTCAAGCATGGCCTCATGGACAGCTGTAAGGGTACGGGTACGGGGCCTCTGAACGGCAGAACCCTTCTTCGGTGGCCGCAATATTCTTCGGGTAGCAATAAGAACGACTTCCTGTTAAAAAGGCCACGAGTGATTGATGTAATTAGATGCAGAGAGCATTTAAAACGCTCGTCAAGCAAATAATTCTCAATGCTTCAACAAAATAATCTGTGAAAATATAATGTATGACAAATAAAATAAATACAATCTGAACTTCTCAGTTTAAAGCTATTCTACTATCTTATATGCTGTCAAGTGCTCCGCCTTCCTAATAAGAGGTAGAGGTAAACTGACAATTGCTCCTTAAAAGGTGTTAACGATCCTAATCCTTGACACAATGCTAAAGTAAAAGGTTAACTCCTAAAATGAAATATACAAGAAACTAATATGGGCAGCCTCCATCTCAAGTCTGGACCCTAGAACAAATATATATATACAGCAGCTTTCGTAGCTATCAACATAGATCATCTTTACTTGAACTGGTTACAAGATTAATTTTTAGAAAATCTAGTATGGAATTTATTAAGAAACTATGTAAAAAGGTCTTCGTAAATCCTAATGGTGCAAAAAAAAATTGCTGTTCACTGTTATGCCTGATGTAAACATAAAAAGTTTTTATATTGAATAACACCAAATCTTGGAAGATGATGTTCTATTAACATAATTTTGCAGTATAAAATAATAGGGAACTCCACTACAATTTTGGTTAGATAAATGTATCAAATTAAGATCGTGACATCATAGTATCAGCATTACCTTCCCGCTGAACTTCTTCTCAAGCTCTCTCACTAGTCTAGGATGAATCTTGCGGAAAGCTTTCCTAAGACGATAAGGAACATGGATCACAACAGCCTTCTTGTTTCCAGAAACATCAATTTGCCTGCAGAATATAAAACGTACAGATCATCAACATGCTACACAATGGTGATTTGGCAAAGAATATATGTTAATCAATATGTATGTTACATGGCAGAGTTGATGTAGAGGTCTTTCAAGTCACTCTTAATCTCTTGGTTTGTACTTTCCAAGTCGAACAGAGCCTACATACACGTCAAAAGAGGAAAACCATCACAAATTGCATTCATACAAATTTAACGGCTGAATAAGGTAGACAAATCCAGTAGCATCAATAAGGTAACAACCTGAGCAACAGACTCCTCAAACTCGGTGGGTTCAGCATCCTTGTCCTTGTGAATCTTTTGCAATGCAGTGTACATCTTGGAAAAGCTGATATAGAAACAAAAGAATGAAATTGACAAATAGAGCCCAAAAAATTGATTCTTCTGGTCTAGTTTAACGAATTAAAGTAATCAAATAACATGTGTATATTATTTCAAAATTTATGAATAAAACCTACAAAATTGATCTTGCTAATAAATACAATCATACAAAAAGGTTTGTTTAGACAAAACTCATCATTTGAGACCAATTTTTCCCATATTAAATATTCGCAAAACAAAGCTATTTATCATTTGCTGTAAACATCAAAGAACACAACAGAAACCCTTAAACACCATTAATTTCTTTTCCAACGATTACAGCCTTATTTTCCAGAATTCAATTCCCACTAACTAATAAAAAGCTGTAGACTTTAAAAGGTAACAAAAGAACATCAAATTGTTCCTCTAAGAGCCACAAAATGTAAAATACCGCCACCTAACATATTATAATACAATTTAGATCGGCTAAAAAATAAATTGAATTGATTCGAAGACATTTATACGACGAAAAAAAGTCTAATAAGTGAGATTAAATTATTTTGTAAGAAATCTAACAGAATCTAAAAAGAAACCTGATGAAAACAATGGATTTACAAGTAAACAAGCTTACTAAATTCATCGAAAACAGGGAAAAATAGGAATCAGGTGAAAATCTTACTAAACTAGAATAGATTGATTTATTAAGGGATTTACGAGAAACTAATTAGAACCCAGATGAAAATAACAGAAAATGATAAAACCCATTTGTTCGAAAAATGCACCTCGGTAGAGGGAATTAATGGGCTCCCTAACTTCTGCTCTGTGAGAAGGTCTAAAGTCGGGCGCTGGCGGATACAAGGGTTTAAAAGATGGGAGAAGAATGGAGAGATACAATGAAAACCCTAGTTTCATCAACGGCTAAAATAGAATGCTGGGCTGTTAAAGAATTGATCTGGACCGTCAAATATAAAGAGGGAACCCGACCCGAATTC